CTGGATATTATGTGTTTTATTATTTTTGTTTTGTAAGGAATCTATCTTTTATCTGAATATTTTCCTGTAGGACTCAATCCTCTGGTATCTCTCCCTGTGTTTTGAGAAAGAAGTCAGGAGACAACATGTCCTAACACATTTTGGAATTAAGCAAGCCATAAAACCATCTTAAGCCTAATTTCCTCTAAAGTAATTATCTGTAAATATAACTTTTAAAGAACTAGAAAGAAATTCCCTACACTGGCCCTGAGATTTATATTAGGCCAAATAAAAAAACAATTGAATAGGAAAATTAGAAAAATGTGTTTTAATCATGTGATTAAATGTGTAGCGCGAAGTGATGACTAATTAACATACAAAAAAGCCCTGGTTCCGGCAAACAAGAAGAAAGCGAAATCTATGACAGTTACTCTAAGTGGGGTCTAGGGACTTTTGTTACCTGCCTGCTACAAGTACGGGAAGTCCCACAGAAATCTGGTGCTACCCTACTACTTTCGCTGTGTTGTGCAAGAAGACTGGTCCACAATGATCTGGAAAACAAGCTATGTAAAAAACACACACTAGTCTTTCACTCCAGGCAACCTGAGGACCACTGGTCTATAGTAACAAAATTCGCCATCCGAAATCCTGCCCTGAGTTTCCATTTTAAAGACTGAAAACTAAGACACCCAAGTTATAAGCTGTCTGTGTTGTTTTGTTGTCCTGTCTTTATACGGACTGTTTCCATAACAGGGAGGAGACTGACTTCAGGGAAGTACAGTGATAATTCTAAAGCAGGAAAAAAGAAATTACAGAGATAATCTCCCAAGTTTTTCATTCATTCAAGCAATAAGCACTTGCCGTGTGCTGGACCCTGCATGTTCAGGATGATGTCACCAAGACAGAATGAGGGGACATCCCAGCCCTTTGGAAACTTGATGCCTAATGAGAAGCAGTGTTTTCAGGTACTTTTCCCTTGAGCTACGGATGCGAAAGTAGTCACGTTTAGGGAAACAAATATATTTTATATATATATGAAGTGAGATGCCTGGACAAATTCATAAACCAACACTAGAGAACAGTGAAAACAATTAAAGTACAAAATGTGCCAAAACAGACCCTAATTGTCATTTCTAGATGACACAAAAATCCCGAAGACGTTATAGGCATCACAAAGTTGCCTGTGCAGTCGACTGAAAAAACAAACCCCCCAAACCTGCAACATACTTAGAATTCTCCTCAAGCATTATTTTTCTTCAACATCAGTAGAGCACAGTTAACAGGGAGATGCTTCTTTAATCGAGTGAATCGAGGTGTGATATAATAATGAGAATCTTTGTCAGATTCTTTCCTTATAAATACTAACACACTTACTACAAGGGAATTTTAGGAAGGACATGCCACGTAAGAAGGTCTCAAGGTTTGGGGTGCAGAAATTATGTGACAGGTAAACGTGCGGCAGGCCAGCCTGAGGTTCTAGGTTCTTCTACTTGGATGTCTATGCAGGCAGCATACCCCTCTCTCTGAAGTGGGGCTTCCGGCGCAGGCCGAGCCGACAGATAAAAAGCAGACTGTTGAGGGTCCGCACGTAATAGGCAGAGCGGGGGCTGCAGCAACATCAGTGTTCTAAAAGCCAGTGTTTAAGTTCCCAACGACCCCAGGGCTTCATGTGTATTGCACTGGCAATAAACTGACCAGACTGATTCTTCAGGAAACACTGCTATTCCTTCATTCCTTCAAGGAATTCAGGAATGTCAGCCCACGGGGCGGGACTCTCTCTGGTTAAGGGTTCTCACTTAGAAACTTAGCTGGAGACCAAGTTTCAAGAGCAAAGCAGAAGACTTAATACAAGCAGTGCAGAGACGGGAAAACGCTAATCTCCTACAACACAGGGGGGCTGTCATGAGGCCATCACCAGGCAGATGGCTGACAGGACAAAAATTCCATGTCACTAAAGCCAAGCCCACTCTGATAGCTGTCTGATATCCTGACCTAAGCTGAGAACAAACAACCAAGATGGGTAAGTAGAACTGTTTTTTAATGGTATTGACTTGCATACCTGACATTCTTTTTAGCCCTATTTTTAAAGCTCAAACCCAGGGCACAGCAAATCTGTGAGAATACAGTAGGGGCTGGGCTCCCTTGGTCTCCCTGTCTGCCTGCTCAGACCTCAGGCCGTGGGTCTGGTCGCTGACCCCACCTCCTTCCAGACCAGGTTCTAGCCAAGCAGAGAGGCCAGTGGCTCTCACCCTGAAACTCTGATAGGACAATCTGAACCCAGCTGCCCGCACTACCTTGGATGAATCTGAGCCGGAGAGGCTCTGCTCTCAAACGGAAGAACACAAACACTGACTGCTTCTACAATCCTGGCATCAGTCAGCGCTTGTGCTGAATTCAGTTCAACATTCACTGAGCACTTCTTCTGTACCAGGCCCGGTGCTGGACGTTGCAGACGCACAGACACATCACACACACACACACACACACACACACACACACACACACACACTAAAGTAGCTCTCGTCCCTCTCTGAGCGTCAAAGTCCCTCTCCTCAAGGGCTCACAGTTTAGTTGGAGGCATCGACACAATATGCAAACGCATGAATGTATTTCAGATCATGGTGATAAGGTCAGTAAGGAAAATCCTGTGGGAAGACCTAGTCCCTAACAAACAGACATTCAGGAATGAGAAGAAATGCTGAAAGAAAATATGCAAACATTTTTAATCACCAAATTTCCATACCCCTCTGAACCCACGCCTCCCCTGGTGTAAGGGTTAAGGCAGGTAATTGCTAAATTCCTTCCCAACTCAAAAATGCTATGATACTTGGCTTTAACAAGAACATTTTCTAATGAACTTAACCAGTTCCATTAAGTAGTTCAATAGCTCTGGCTTAAAGATAACTAAATAGCATTAAAATTTCAGTAAGGCAAAAAAAGACTATAAAGAGATGAACAACTAACTTATGTGCAGCATAAGACTTCTTACATAACCAAACGAAACATGAACACCCATTGGAAAGTAAGAAATGGGAATTTCCAATGCAATTATTAAAAACTATTTGTTAGATTCCTTTGCATGCACTAGATTTTCAGTTCCCAAAACAATCTGACACATAATACGTGCTCAGTAAATATTTGTCAAACAAAGAAGTTCAATCTAACCCAAATCAAGAAGCCAGTTACAACACTGAACTCTCCAAATAGTGTGCTAGGTTTACAGTGAAGACATTACCTACCTGTGGTAAAGACACAATGACTGTGGGAACCGTATTACCTTTTTGGAAGGCAGTTGAAATGCCCACCTTTTACCTAAAAAGGTCCAAATCCATTTCAAAACCTGGTAACTATCCAAAGAAATAATCAGACAAGTGCCCAACAACGTATGCATAAAAAACTATGGAGGGGGCGCCCGGGTGGCTCAGTCGGTTGGGCGTCCGACTTTGGCTCAGGTCATGATCTCGCGGTCCCTGAGTTCGAGCCCCGCGTTGGGCTCTGTGCGGACAGCTCAGAGCCTGGAACCTGCTTTGGATTCTGTGTCTCCCTCTCTCTGCCCCTCCCCTGTTTGTGCTCTCTCTCTCAAAAATAAATAAACGTTAAAAAAAGAAAACCTTCTGTGCATCAAAGGACACTATCAGTAAAAGGTGAGGACCAACACAAAGAATGGGAGAAATATTTGCTAATCATATATCTGATAAGGGGTTAATATACAAAAAACTCCTATAATTTAATAGCAGAAAAACAAATAATCTGATTAAAAATGGACAAAGGACTCAAACAGACATATCTCCAAAGATGACATACAAATGGCCAACAAGCATATGAAAAGATGCTTAACAGCACTACTCATTAGAGAAAGGCAAATCAAAACCACAGTGAGATACCACTTCATAACACTAGAATGGCTATTATCAAAAGAGCATAAACTATTAAGTGTTGGTGAGGACGTGGAGAAACTGAAACCCGCGCATGCGGGAGTGTGAAACGGTACAACCGCTATGGAGAACGGCACGGAGGTTCCTTAATAAACTAAACATAGAATTACCATGTGGCCCATCAATCCCACTTTTGGGTATATGCCCCAAGGAACTGAAAGCAGGGTCTCAAAGAGATATTTCCAAACTCATGTACCTAGGGCTGTTACTCACAATAGCCAGAGATGGAAGTCAATGACTGCCAATGAGTGGATACACAGAGTACGGTATATATCCATACAATGGACTGCCATTCAGCCTTAAAAATGAAGGAGATTCTGTCACATGCTACAACATCAACAAACCTTGAAGGTATTACGTTAAGTGACATAAAAAGGCAAATATTGCATGATTCCATTTATATGAGGCATTTAAAGGAGTCAAATTCATATGTACGTATGTACATATTTACTTAAATTCCAGTATAGTTAACACACGTCATATTAGTTTCAGGTGTACAATATAATGATTCAACAATTCTATACCTTACTCCGTGCTCATCATGGTAAGTGTACTCTTAACAGCCTTCACCTATTTCACCCATCCCCCACCCTAAAGGAGTCAGATTCTTAGAGACAGAAATGCAACGATGGGCAATCATCAGGGTCTGGAAGGAAGGGGGATGGGGCGTTACTGTTTAATGGCCACAGTTTCAGTTTTTTAAGACAAAAAGTTCTGGGTATTTGTTGCACAACACAAGTGTACTTAACACTACTGAGCTACAGATTTTAAAATGGTTAAGATGGCAAAAAAAGGGGGGGGGGTTTATATCTTATAGTGTGCGAATTATACCCCCAACAAAAGTTATGTGAAACATTTTAAAAAGCAAGTTACACAACCATTTGTAAAATAAAAGTGTGTGTATAGAACAGAAATGAAATGTAAGAATCTACTGAAAAATGTTAACGGTGTTTGTATTACAGGTGAAAAAGAAGTCTGTAGTTTCCCACACTTTCAGACTTTTCTTCTGGAGAAAATGTAATTACCTTGATATACAAAAAACAGGGCATGGTCTCTATTAAGGGGCAGAAACAAGAAAGCTGATACCTGGGCTGGAGTGCTTGTAGTCACGGGAGACGGCGATTCACTAACTTTTGGCTCAGTCGGGGAAGCGGCGGACCCCTGCGAGTCCTGGCTGGCTGGCTGGTCTGGAGACAGAGCATCACTGCTGTCTTCGTCAAATGAGAAATCGCCCTGAGTTTGAGGATAGTCCTCCTTCCCAACGCCTAAAGAAAGAAATGACTTTCAACTTAAGTTGACCTTGGAACACCAAGCTTACAATGATAAAGAAGGAGAAACACTGTTTAATACAAGAACTTAAGAAGCTGGTTTAAAAAAAAAAAACTGATGGGGCTCCTGGGTGGCTCAGTCGGTTGAGCGTCCGACTTCGGCTCAGGTTATGTATGATCTCACTGCTCGGGAGTTCGAGCCCTGCACTGGGCTCTGTGCTCACAGCTCAGAGCCTGGGGCCTGCCTCGGATTCTGTGTTTCCCTCTCTCTCTGACCCTCCCTGACTCATGCTCTTTCTCTCCCTCTCTCAAACATAAATAGTAACACATTAAAAAAAATCGAACATAATGTACTTCCCAGAGGAAGAACACACCAGTCACTACCTATGATGAATACTTGGGGAAGAAAGTCAGATCAGATCAGTCTGAATCAGATCAAGCCTTTGGATCCAACTACCAGTTTCGGGAAATACAGAAGACAAAAAAAGTTCTTAATGACACTGGAAACGCTAATGCATTCAGGAAAATCCAGTCTGTGGGCATAGCTAGCGAACAGAAGGCTTTTTCACCAACAAAGGAAGAAAAGTTAGAAGGCCCACCCAGGAGATCAAGATTTAAGAGCTATATCAGCAAAGACAAGGTGTGAACCTTGCTTGGACCCTGATGTGGAATACAAGTGTTAAAAAACATCAAGAGGCACGGGAGAAAATGGAGCTATGGTTCGGTATCTGCGGATGAGTCCCACTTCATGGAGAGGCCCAGTTACGCTGATGCCTTGCCTTTTGGGGCCCACTTCTTTGGGATTGAATGGAATCATCATTGAATGTACTACTTAGAATTACTGACTACAAATTGCCTGAGATTTAAACCCATGCTCATGCAAAATATGAAGTCCCCAGAGTAATGGAAACAAGACTAGTTTTTATAGCAGGATATTGACTTTCCAAAATTGCTTGCTGAACAAGTGGTATTATTATTATTATTGTTTCTGCTAAAACTTGTGCCGGAATATAAAGTATGCGTGGTGAGGAAACATTAGTAACTATGATAAGATCAGGATAAAATGGACAAATTTTACCATTCTTAATAAATACATCTGTCCTCATGTGCTATTTACGTTGTTGAACTAACACTGAACAAGATATTCATCTTTCCTAGAAGTACACAGAATTAAGTAATGAAAAATCTGTAAGGATCTTAAACAACACAACAGAAATTAAATAGTATAATGAGTAAGTTGAATTAAGAAAACATGGGGCGCCTGCGTGGCGCAGTCGGTTAAGCGTCCGACTTCAGCCAGGTCACGATCTCGCAGTCCGGGAGTTCGAGCCCCGCGTCGGGCTCTGGGCTGGTGGCTCGGAGCCTGGAGCCTGTTTCCGATTCTGTGTCTCCCTCTCTCTCTGCCCCTTCCCCGTTCATGCTCTGTCTCTCTCTGTCCCAAAAATAAATAAACGTTGAAAAAAAGAAAACCTCAGAATGAGGGGCGCATGGGTGGCTCAGTCGGTTGAGTGTCCAACTTCAGCTCAGGTCATGATCTCACGGTCCATGAGTTCAAGTCCCACGTTGGGCTCTGTGCTGACAGCTCAGAGCCTGGAGCCCCTTTTTATTCTGTGTCTCCCTCTCTCTCTGCCCCTCCCCACCTGTGCTCTGTCTCTGCTGAAAATGAATAAACATTAAAAAAAAAATTAAAAAAAAAAAAGATGTCAGAATGAAATTGGAACTTAAGGACAGAAACCTCAGACGTGACAAGAGGAACTTCTGTGTTAACTGGTAAGAGATGCTTCATCTACCTTATTACATAAAAAACAAACAAACAAAAAAAATCCCAAGAATAATGGGAATTGGTGCAAGTATTAATCAATTTCTAATTCACCCAGAAAATAATACTCATGATCGGTGCTGGCTTTTTTATTTTAATGTTTATTTATTTTAAGAGAGAGAGAGAGAGAGCATGTACACGAGAGGGGAAGGGGCAGAGAGAGAGGGGGAAAGAGAGAGAGAGAGAATCCCAAGCCGACTCCACACCGACAGCACAGAGCCTGACGTGGGGTTCGATCTCATGAACCAGGAGATCATTACCTGAGCCAAAATCAAGAGTCGGACTCTTAAGTGACTGAGCCACCCAGGTGCCCCTGGTCCTGGCTTTTTAAATTAAATTTGTTTGAAACTTCCAAGTTTCTCTTTCTCCCAGAAATAATAAATTTTTAGAGTCTTGCCTATAATTGCTTCCTTAACACTGGAGTCTACAGGAAGGATGTTTTTCTCTACCAGCTCCATAGGACCAGGTCTTTGAGCAATCTTTTCATTCAGATCATCCGCTAGTCGAGCTCTTTTCAACTTCATCTGAGTAGCCTGCAGGGATGGTTCTGCAAATGTTTCTAAAAGAGGAAACATAGTTTTAACCATTACTTGAATTACTCGGTTCCATAATGTTACTTCTGGCCAAGTGAATCTAATTTAATTTAAACTGGGTTAAACATATTTATGTGTTCTCAACACACTGATGGAAAGAGAAGTAGGCTGTTTAAGAATGCTGTAGTGTACGCTGTATATTTTTAGTCCTGGATACTTTATACTGTCTATATAATGCCCTTAGACGCAAATTAACATGAACTCAAGCCAAAAATGTGGTACTGCTCTTGTTCATTTATGGTGAGAGGATCACAGTCACATTTGTTAGGTATTGGGAGGTCTGGAGGATGAACACGAGGGATGTGGTCCATCCATGGCCCAAGGAGTGCCCAGGTGTGATCTGGCCTCACTGCAAAGTCAGCTGCGAGACGTGGCACTGCTCTCTTACTTAGTTAGGTCCTAAAGCTTCTCTGCAGGAGCCAAAGGAAGAGCCAGAATCAAATTCTTGGGTTGATCCTTGTGTGTCTCAGTCAATCATCCTCACTAAGAATCTGGGTTTATTTCTGGGTATATAACCTTGGAACATTCAATTACATAGTCCTATGTCATAAAGATAGATGTCAATGGTCATAAAGAAGGCTCGGCTCATCTACTTGCAAACAGGAAGTTTTACAACAAATGCAAAAGTAACGTAAGTATCCTAGCTCATTCATCTGGGTAACTGTGTCAATGACTTGGCTTCTGGTACCTCTCATTAACATTTTATTACATTGTTCTAAGTAATGTTTAGAAGTGATTAAAAACATGGTGAGGTGTTAACCCCAAATTCTGAGTTGACAGTTGCCTGCCACTTAAATTATATAGCAGAAGGTCTTTTAATGAAAATCCCCATAAGTTATCTCAGGATTAACTGATGTTCTCTTTTTAGTGGGTACGACGTCCTGGCTGAAGCCCAAAGCACACCAAAAGCCCACGGCCCGTGAATTACTCCCCAGCACATCCGAGTGCTTCTCCTTCCACCAGTTGAATTACATGCTTACCAAAGCTCAACCCTGATGGTCCACAAAACAGTTCATATCATTTCATATCTGCTGTCAATACATAGTTTAACTACATCTTATAGGAAAATGATAAACTTCAAAAATAAGACTGTTCCTTGGGAACCTAAGTTAAATCCTTTGGAATGATTTGATAAAGGTGGGTTATTACAGAATAAGTCACTGCCAAATTAGGGCAATTAACAACTAAAATATTTGGGACAAATTACAAAATCTAGGATTTTCCAACTCAGATTGCTTTTCAAGTGTCTTTATGTTGTTTTTTCCACCCTAAATGGAAACTGTAGATGACGTATGATAGCTGTGCTTCATGCAAGAAAGATGATGTAAACTCCATTCACTTCCCTAGTGAGGGCCCTGGTCTTAAATCAGAGTATTGGCTAATAAATGAACATTTCTGTAAGTGAAGATATCATGTGTGACCTCTCATTTTTAACATTTTCCTGTATAACCTTAGGCTGTGGCCCCCATCTTATTACATAAACCACTTCTAACCACACAGGAAGATGACAGGTAGAGAGAATGAGACCATGCCAATCACTCTTAGGGTGATTGTAAATGCTGTTGTTAAGATCTAGGTAGGACAGTCTTCTGCCTTTCTCCTTTCTCCCATCAACATTTCCATATCAGGAATATGTGTGGAATGAAAATATTCCGAAAGTAAATGATCAGACGCTGGGATTTTGGTATGTTTCTGTTTTTGGTCTTGTGATCTCCTCATCTCCACGATGCTGAGGTTAGATTTTAGCTGAACTTCAGAAAAATAATTTAGACTTTTGCCTGCCAAACATCCAATTCAATCAAAATTGGGGTAATGTTAAAATAAGTTGGGGGGTTTGAAGTTATTTTTTAAAATTACAAACAATATATATTCTTTCTTACTTTAAAAATCCCAACTTGAGAACAGATACTAAAAAAACATCAGTTACGGGCCCGCTCATGCACATAGTTGGGTTTTTAACCATTGGGTAATCTTTTCTTCTTCTTCTTCTTCTTCTTCTTCTTCTTCTTCTTCTTCTTCTT